AAAACCACCAAGAAATTTNCAGAATGTGCAGAGAATTCGATCGATAAAGAGGGCAAGAAAGTGTTATTTTTAAGCCTTTTTCACCTGGTCTTTCAATCTTTCCTGCTGAATCAGCTCTCTAACCGGTCTATACGCAGCTGTGATGCATAAGTTCTGTTTGTACAAATAGGAAACAAAAAGTCAAGTTTCCAATGATTTTAGATAACATTTTTGAGTTCTGGTTAGAGATGACAAAAACCTTAAGATCACTTCCACTGTAGCCTTCTGTCATCTGTCCAAGCTCATGGAAATCAAGATTCTCTGTTTTCTCTTTCGACAACAAAGTTCTCAAGATCTTCTCTCTGCTCTCAATCGAAGGAAGTCCCACCATTATTCTGTTTTTTTCCAACACAAAACAAAAACCAGTCACAATTTTTAGTATTCATTAAGACTAATTTAAAGCTTTCCCATTTTACCAAAATTGCTTATTACCTCCTCTCAAACCTCCTAATGATAGCTTCATCAAGATCAAACGGTCTGTTTGTCGCTGCAAGAACCAGAATCCTTTCGCCGGGTTTCGTCATTAGCCCGTCCCAATGCGTCATAAACTCATTCTTGATCTTCCTCATAGCTTCATGCTCTCCAACTCTAGTCCTTTGCCCCAACATACTATCAACTTCATCCACGAATATGATCGTTGGAGATACTTTAGCTGCTAAAGTAAACAAAGCTCTCACGTTCTTCTCGTCTTCTCCAAACCATTTCGAAGTTATTGTAGACATGGATACATTGATGAAACTAGCTCCAGCTTCATTTGCAATTGCTTTTGCAAGCATTGTTTTGCCAGTACCAGGTGGTCCAAACAGAAGTATTCCTCTACATGGCTTGAGAAGACCGCCTTTGAAAAGATCCGGTCTTCGTAGCGGAAGCATTACAAGCTCTTGAAGTGAGTCTTTTGTTTCGTCCAATGAACCAATATCTGCAAATGTCACACCAATCTCATCTGCTGGTATAACTTCTGGTCTTATACGCTTCTCAAACTCATTATCAGGAGCAACCTCAGGAGCTTTTGGAGGCAATGGATTGTCATTCTTGTTTGAAGGAAGCGATTTTTCTAACTCGTTTTTGTTTTCAGGAGCAGATGATTCGGGTTTCGACTCGCTCTTCGCACTTACTTCTCCTCCTTTTCGCTTAGAATCGGTGTTTGTGTCTAGCTTCAAGGAGTCTTTAAATGATCTGTTTCCTCCTTCTTGGAATATACTCAGTCCATGTGACAAGCTGTTGCAGAGGACCATGAATCAATTCCAAAAGAAAGGAAATTTCTGCGAATAAATAAACCGATTCCAGTACTTAATTACCTTTTGGAAGATATAACAAGCTTTCCGTTTCTGTATTCGGGTTCTTTGTTGTGCATCAAATGATAAGAGATCGCAGAAATCACAATCTCCTCAATGTGGTTACTCAAACACATTGTATCTGCGTGGCATATCGAAGCTAAATCATCGCACTGGAGATCATTAGCAGCAAGAACCTCGGCGATGTGGTTCTTGTTGTCTTGAAACTGAATCATTTTCATGTCATCTTCTAACCGAGATTTCCAGCTCACGAGCTGAGATTCATCCTCTGGTGGTCTGATTTCGATGTTGTAAGGAAACAGAGCGGAAACCTCTTCGTCTACTTCTTGGCAATCATCTTCGGGTTCTAATACTCTTGAGCCAAGAATCAAGACAGGACCAGAGAGCTTGTTCAAAAGCCTCTGGAACAACTTGTAGAATCTTTCTGACTCAAGAAGCTTTTCAA